TTTTTTGGTTTTTCTCTGGTACCGGGAACCGAACTCACGACCTTGCGCTTGCCAGGCAGGCGCTTTGCCGCTGAGCTAAATCCCCAGCCCCTAAGATTATTCTCTTGATGGCAGGACTGCTCCAGAAATGCCAACATGCCAGTATTCCTCCCCCGAATCTTCTTTTCCTTATCCTCCTTCACCAATTTCTACTGAAAACAAGCACCAACCAGTGTAGATCTGGGTGAATCCTGAAATCTGGTGACTACCAGTTCTTCCACCTGGTCCTCCATCTCGCAAAGCTTCTTCCCCACAGAGTGGTTATAGGCTTCCTCCACAGGATCAGAAGAAATAGTTCCCTACCAAGTGACTCTAAGAAAGCACCTGAACATACCCAATCACAGAGGTATCTTTACCACCAGAGGGTGGGAAAAACCATGGTGTGAACTTTAAGGACAGCTGAATCTCTCGAGAAGGGTCCCAAGCAGCTAACTGGGCCTATAGTTAAGAATGGAGCCTGGCAGCCATTTGTTGATTGTGGGGTCATATAGTATTTAGTGTTCCTGGAAGAACTACAACTAAACCTCGTGGCCCTTGTCTGGGCATGTTCTACTCCAGACTACAAAGATAAACAGCCTCTGAATTTAACCAATGAACTACATCTTCAGTAATATGTAAATGTCAACCAATCAGGAAAGGGCATGGTTGCAGTCCTTATTTATGTAAAATAAACCAATCAGGATTGAGCACACATGCATCCTTCATTTGCATAAGCAAACTAGACTGGGTACCTGGGTGGGAACTTCAACCATATAAGCTAGTCCCTACCTTTATTCCTTCCAAGTACATTTTCCTTTCTATCTAAGGGTGCCTCTTCCAGTTTGCAAACTGTTTTCTTTTAAAAAATAAAACCCCTCTTTTTAAATAATTTATGTTAAAGATAATAAAAAACAATTTTAAAAGCCCTCTTTTAATCATAAGCTTTTTCCTAGTGAATTTTTGTTAACAGCAGGAAGTACCTTGAATCTGGGCACAGAATTAGAACAAAACTCATCTATTGCCCACCAAGGAACCTTCTGACTTGGCATTCTCAGGATCATTGAAGGGTCAGCTTCAACCTGAAGTTTCAGCTGCCAGAAGCAAAGGGCAGGGCCCAGGGTCACTGGGAGTGGGGTGACGACAGGGGGAATTGCCACTCCAAGACCCTGGGGCCTAGGCACACAGCTCCTCTCCCGTGGCTATCTCTTGGTCTTCAAATAATGTTGGCCCCACACTTAGGCCAGTTGGAAGGGGAGCCAGGTGGCATGTCCAAGGTACCTGTCCTCCTCACACCTGGCCAGGATCAATCACTCAAACCTCACCAGAGGGCTCACAGTAGAAAACGCTTGATATGTATGTGCACTTGTGAGGACTCATGTACTATACTGGAAAGGAATGACACTTTCAGACACTACGGCTCTTCAGGTTCCTTGGTATATCAAGAGTTGGACATGGAGAGACTGGCATTAGGCTGTGTGAATGAGTGGATATCCCCCCTCTTCCACACAAGCATCTTTTTAATATTACAACAACAGTAAGCTCCCAGCCCTGATCAGCCTAGTGAAGGGGCACAGTGCAGGGAGCTGGGCCAAAAGCAGCCATGATCTGACAGGTGGAACTGCCATAGTGGCAAGAGGGCTACTGTCAGTGCCAGGAAGGAGTAGTGGATTGATAAATGGTAGTCAACTTATACCCTCTAGCTGAACTGAGTAAGCATGATGCTGGGTGTGGGAGGCCCACGTGAGGATTGTTGCCAGCAGCATAAGAGGCAGAACTCAAGAAGGAGAAATTAGGCTGTTAGGAGCTGAGAGAGGCTGTTGGGAGCTGGTAAAAGCTGTAAGGAGCTGTTGGTTGTTTTGGAGGAGCTCGTCATGCTGGCTTTCCTGATGAACTTGGCTGTTTTCATCTTCCGAGGAGCTCGGGACCTTGTTGGTACTGAGAATGGCTTTGGTTCACTTTGGGGAAGCTCTGGTACTCATTTTGAGCCTTGCTGCCTGGCTCTGCAGGGGAAGATGGTGCACTGCCGGTGTCCTAGAGAAGCTTGCTGCGTTGGCTTCCCCTGCCATCTTGATCACTGGAGGAGTTCAGAACCTCACTGTTGCTGAGGATGGCTGTGGTACTTTTCAAGGGAGCTCTGATTCTTCTGAACGTTGCTTCCTGGCTCCAGTGCAGATCCCTCAGCCTGCTAGCACAGATCCTTCATCCCACTGGCACAGACTTCCTAGATTTCACCATTGACCTTTGGGTCTTCCAAGCATAGATCTATGAAACAGGCCTGCATGAGATGTTGTCATGGGCTCTGGGCCACCAGGTGGACTCATGGGAGGAATTGTTATGAGCTATAGGCCTTCAGCTGGACTCATGCAGGACATTACTGTGGGATCCAGGCCCTTGGCTGGATTCTTGGTCTATAGTATGTGGACAGATTTCCTGCACTCTCTTATATATCATTCTTTGGGTGACTATTATAAATAATCATATAAAATATGTGTCCTGTATTTTATTGTTTCACCTTGCATAATAAGCCCCAAACTGACACAGAAGGCAAAGTCTCATAAGACCTGAGTTCTTGAGTTTCCCATAGATAGTTTCTCTTATATGGGACACAAACACCTGTTCCCCAGGGTCATGTGGGGAGCCTAATGGTCCTTTCACTGGCAAGTGGCCTTACTGGTCATAGACCCAAATTCTTTCCTCCCTCCTCTGGATTGCAGAATGTTGGCCTTGAGTTCCATGAACTGATCACAGTCCCCTTAGAGGGACACACACTGCCTGGACAATGGTTTATGAGTTTCTATATGAGATCTTATCAATGGGATTTCACTCAAGGGACTTCTCTATCACACATGCCTGAAAACTATGAATGAAGATATGATTGCATAATGCCAGGAATCTACCTACCTTGGCAGTTTTCCCTCAATAATTGGTGCTGAACTATCACAACCACTGCTGTTTGCATAGGATCAAGTAGACTTTCTTTGAAAGGAGAAGAAAGAGACATAAAGTGTCCCCTGTGACAAGCGTACCTAGAAATAACAGAGGATCACACTGGTTTCCTTTCTTTCTGCGCACTATTTGTTGTGCAAAGAGATATCAGAATATCCTTTACTCCATGTGGGATCATTAAAGGAATGGTCAAAAGGTGACACTGAGTCAGGTATGGTGGCATGTACCTGTAATCCCAGCTACTCAAGAGATTGAGGCAGGAGGATTGCAAATTTAAGGCCAGCCTGGGCAAATTAGCAAGACTCTGTCTCAAAATTTAAAGAAGAGCTGGGGATATGGCTCAGTGAAAGACAACTTGCAAGCATGTATGAGGCCCTAGGTTGTGTGTTCAGCAGCACCAAGACAGGTGGGGGTGGCATGGTATATCTCACCCTGTCAACCTAGAGAGTACATTTAGGCTACCACATTAGCTTTTAGTTAACTGTGATTTCTGAAGAAAAAACAGCATGAAAATCAACTCTATCTATCTTCTGGAATTTGCATGGATGTAACTTGAGTCTTTTTTGCAATACTGGACTGAGCATAAGGTCTCCCACTGAGCTATATCCCCAACTCTTTTTAAAATTTTGCTTTATTTATGGTACTAGGGATTGAAAACCCTGAGCTACATCCCCAGTCCTTTCTATTTTTCAGAGACAGGGTCTCCTTTAGTTGCTGAGACTGGCCTTGAAGTTGTTTCTCCTGCCTCCAGAGTAGCTGGGGTTGCAGGCAAGCACCATTATACCTGGCCTTGTGGCTGTTTTAACAAATAGACATGGTAACAAAGTGGTACTTGGTGAAGGCAGATACTAATACTGCTATAAGATCCCACTTCTATGGGAACAATACACACCCTCCTGGCATAAAACCTTGAAGAACAACCCTCTTTATCTCTGTCCTTGTGTGACTACAGCTGAAGACATATCAGAATATCATCACAAGCTTGTTTCTCCTACCATTCTGAAATGGAAAACCAGACTTTTGGCTTACCAGCAGCTCCTCTGGCTCATGGATGGGTGAATTGAAATCAGGTATCTCCTCTCTGGTTGTACTGACTTTCTAGGGAGGGGCAATCATTCCTGTTCCTCAGTTTATCAGGCCCCTGAACTGTGCTGGACAAGGAGATATACAGTGGCATCTCAGTTCAGGAACTTAATTCATTCCACAATTCTGAAAAAGAGGCCCATGTTCATGTTCATGTTCATGTGGGAAAGATGACGACAGTCATGTTCATCACATGATGCAGAGTTTCAAAAAAATAATAAAATTTTGCCAAATACTTCTATTTGCAAACCAAATAGTTCACAGACAAAAGCATTCATGAACCCAGGTACCACTCTAAACCCACAATACACACACGCCCTCACTCTGAACAAGGTCCTTGTAAGCATCCTCACAGTTTTATTTAAACAAAAAACAAACAAAATGAGAGAGAGAAGGTAGAAGAGATATCTACTGTCCAGAGGGTTGGGCTACTATAAATGCACAATATTCCTGCGCCTCAGGAAAAGATATGGAAACCCAGAGCAGTAATTGGAGGAGAAAAGCAGATTAGAAGAAGGCTGACTTGGTACAGATGTGCAAAGACCAAGGGATGTGTTTTATGAAAGCAGTGAAACGCACCTGTCTACTATATATGATCTTGTGAGGTCAAAGAAAATGGCAAAAGTAGACATTTGCTATTTGCTATATGCTTTCATTAGCACTGGACTCTCAAAGGATAAACATAAGGAAAAATTACATCTGGTTCTCAGAGTAACGTGAGTCAGGAGGAGGAGTGGAGGGCAGATAGGCACTCTGCAATGTGAAGGGCTATAGCTTTCCCTGGAAAGACTCTTTAACCACAGCATCTTGGCATCTCCAAGGTGGTTGTAGGAGAAAATAAAAAAGTGCAATATGTATAAGCATGCATTTACACATAGAGAAATAAAAGTGAGTATGAAAAAAGCCATCTGGGAGTCTCTGCCCTCCATGCACCTGTGCCAGTCAGGAATTCCTCACTCAGAAGCCCCGGGGATGGCTCTCACCAGGGTTTGCGTGCGGGCCATCCCTGCACGTGCCTTGTGCCTAGTGAGTGAGTGCTCCAAGAGTTGCTGGTCCCGCAATTTGAGTCGGTGCTTTACTTGCGCCCGGACCCCCTAGGGGGTTGCAGGCACAGGCAGTCTGTGATTGCTCTTTGAGTGGCCCAGGTCTGGCTACTGAGCACGTCCTGAACTGACTAAAAAGCAGAACCGGGTGGGCTGTGACCCACTCCCACCACAATAGTTCCCAGCTGAAACTCGCAGAGAGAGCCAGGTTTTTCCCATCTAATTCCTGGAGGCAGAGCAAGTGAGCCAGGACCCCGCCGCCATTACACTCTGACTCTGCCCTCCCTGCACCCACAGCAGACAGGAGGTCCTCACTCAGAAGCCCCAGGGACTGCTCTAGCTTGGAGGGAGTGTGTGGCCCCTCCCAGGATGTGCCATGCACCAAGTGACTAAGTGCACCAAGAGTTGCTGGTCCACTGATTCAAGTCTATGCTTTACTTGTGCCCAGAACCCCCAGGGGGTCGCAGGCATGGGTAGTCTGTGATTGCTGCCCATCCGGCCTGCATCGAGTTCCTGTATGTGTCCAGAACTGACTGGAGACACAGAATCAGGGGTTCACAAACTGTCGACCCTACAGTTTGTGTCTGGGTTTTGTCTGTATCCTGAACTGCCTGGGCACATAGGTCCACTGGATCAGGATTGTCACACCAGTGCAACCTGAGTCTGGGCCGAGCATGTGCCCTGGACTGCAAGGGGACTCTGGATCAGATAGTCTGCCATCAGTTGATACCAATGCCAGCATCTGAGACCTGGGATAACTAGATACAAATCAACAACTGCCAGAAAACCCAAGACTAAGTAGAGCTACTCAGGGGTCACTGATGGCAAACCTGATGAACAGGAAAACTAGGGACACTAGTGGTCTTTGCTGTGCAGCCACTGAAGAGGAAACTGAGCTTTCTGCATCCAGTAGCAAACATGACAAAAGGAAGGACTAAAACACAATCCGAGAACTCCATTCCCACTCAGAACAAGTCCAGGAGACATCGACATAGGAGAACGTGGTAAACACATGCCTGAATTAGCTGAAATGATTGCAATGGAAGTAAAGAAACAACTCCATAAGGCCATAGAAGAGATGAGATCAGAAATAATCTCTCAGGCAAAAAATGAAATGACAAGAACAATGAAGAAACTGCTCAAAAAATCTGAAGAAGAGACATATAAAAAAAATAGAAGAACAAAGGCAATGGACAGAAGCATTAAATGAAAAGTATAGACAGGACTTAGAATGCATGAAACAGATTCAAAGACACTTCCAGGAAAGCAAAGCCTCCATTGAAACCTGCCAAAACCACTTGAATAAAGCTGAAGAAAGAATCTCAGACTTTGAAGACAGTATGGCAGCTAGTGACCGTGAAAGAAAGGATCTTGTAAATCAACAAGGATCCAGAAAAAGTCAATTCAACAGCTGCAAGATGAGGCAAAGAGGAATAACGTATGACGTATAGGAGTCAATGAAACAGCAGGAGGGAACACAACTGACATAAAAAGAATATTTGCAGAAATAATAGCAGAAAATTTCCCAACTAAGGAAACAGAATCTGATATACAGGTAAATAATGCATATAGAACTCTAACCAACCACAACCAAAATACAACTACACCCAGACATATAATAGTCAAGTTCCCAGATCACCAGCAAAAGAACAGAATATTAAAAGCTGCTAGAGAAAAGAAAAAGATTACCTATAAAGGAAAGCCCATCAGAATCACGGCAGATTTCTCAGCACAAACCATCCAATCGAGAAGAGCTTGGAGTGAAGTATTACAGGTCCTCAGACAGAACAGCTTCCAACGAAGACTGATGTACCCTGCAAAACTGTCCCCCAAATTCAACGGAGAAATAAAATATTTTTACAACAAACAACAATTGAAGACCTTCATGAGTGCCAAGCCAGCATAACAAAGAGTACTAAAAGATATTCTAGACAGAGACAAATCTGGCCACAATTTCAAGAACAACAGTAGAAAGGAAATGTCAAGAAGACCAAGGAAGTAAAGAGGTAGAAAAAGTAGGACACCAACCCAAGTAAATAACATGACAATGATAAATCAATACATATGGGCTATAACTATAAATGTAAATGGCCTCAATTCTCCAGTCAAAAGAAACAGACTGGTAGAGTGGATTAAAAAACAAAATACAGCGACATGCTGCACACAGGAAACACATTTCACTCCAAAGGAAATCCATAGACTAAAAGTCAAAGGATGGAAAACAATCCTCCATGCAAAAGAAACCTAGAAAAAAGCAGGTGTAGCTATTCTGTTTGAAGACAATGTAAAATTCAAACCGACAACAATCAAAAGAGATAAAGAAGGTCACTACACACTAGTCAGGGGAAAACTGCAAGAGGATGAGATAACAATCATAAACATGTATGCACCAAATATCAGAGCTCCAAATTATATCAGAGAACTCTTAACATGCATGAAAACCCATATAATTAATAACACTATTATAACAGGGGACCTGAACACCCCATTGACACAAACAGATAGGTCCACTGGACAAAAAATCAGCAAGGAAATAACATATCTCAACCAAAGCTGTTAACAAAAGAACCCAGTAAATGTACACAGAGTGTTCTACCCACATCATCAGAATAAACATTTTTCTGAGCTTCACATGGGTCTTTCTCTAAAATAGACCACATCCTAGCCCACAGAGCATATCTTCCGAAACGCAAAAGATTGAAATTATTCCGGGCACATTATCTGACCACAGTGCAATGAAATTGGAAATTAACGACAAAAGGAACTCCAAAAACTGCATAAACACTTGCAAATTAAACAACAACCTCCTGAACAACCAATGGGTCACAGAAGAAATTCAAGAGGAAATTAAAACACACCTACAAACAAATGAAAATGTAAATACAAATTACTGGAATCTATGGGAGCAATGAAAGCAGTCCTCAGAGGGAAATTCATAGCGGTGAATTCACAAATAAGGACAACAGGAAGAGAACAAATAAGTAGCCTAATGCTGCATCTTAAACTTTAGAAAAAGAAGAACAAGTCAGGCCCAAAGCCCAAAGAAGGGAGGAGATGATAAAGATTAGGAAAGAAATTAATGCAATTGAGACAAAGAAAACCCTACTAGAAATAAATGAATCAAAGAGTTGGTTCTTTGAAAGAATAAATAAAATTGATAAACCCCTAGCCAACATTATCAAAAAAAAGAAGAACTCAGATTCACACAATAAGGAATGAAAAAGGTGAAATTACTACAGATTCCACAGAAATTCAGAAGATCATTAATACCTACTTTGAAAATATTTACTCCTATGGGATAGAAAACTCAGAAAAAATGGACAGATTCCTAGATATATACAAATTATCAAGGTTGAGTCAAGAAGATATCAAATTCCTGAACAACCCAGTATCAATTAACGATACTGAAAATGTGATTAAAAACCTACCGACAAAGAAAAGGCCAGGCCCTAATGGATTCACACCAGAATTTTACAAGAAATTCAGAGAAGATTTAATATCAACATGCCTCAAAATCTTCAATGAAATTGAAAAGGAAGCAATTCTCCCTAACTCATTTCTGGAGGCAAGCATCATACTGATACCAAAACCAGAGAAAGACACAACCAAAAAAGAGAGCTACAGACCGATCTCCCTAATGAATAAGATGCAAAGATATTCAATAAGATACTAGCAAATAGAATGCAGGAAATTATCAA